GATTCTTCCTTTTTATTTTGCTTATTGTTCTGTTGATGCAAAGATGGTGGAAAAATCAGATTATTTCTTAAATTGGATCTGAGGCTCTCTGTCCCTCCATAGATGCATAGGAATTTTAGTGTGATTATTCAATCTGTAAAGTAATAAGTTTGTAGAAGATCATACCACTCAGTGCTTACTGTTCATTTATTTTGTGAGAAAAATATATTTTTATTCAGTAGAAGCATTTTGTATCGTATGTATTGGGCCAATACATACGTGACTACTATTAAAATTTATTTATGTGGTTTAATCTGCTGATACCTGTGCTTGATTTAAGAATCACTTGCAAAATTAATAAAATACCATTCACTGAATCCTCAAGGCCCAGGAACCTGATTTTTATTTATTTATTTATTTTTTTCAGTTGAAATCTCACTCTGTCACCCAGGCTTCAGTGCAGTGGCATAGTCATGGCCACCACAGCCTCGACCTGTTGGGCTCAGGCGATTCTTCTGCCTCAGTCTTCCAAAGGAACCTGTATTTTATCAGGCATGTTTTGAGAAATACTGGATTCTAATTACCCACCATAGCTGTGAGCATTTTCAGAATAGATTAACACCAGTGTCAGCCAAGTAACTCAAACCAAAGTTAAGGATAGTCGATTGAAGTTTTGAAGGTAGACAGCTCTTTTTTTTTTTTAAGTTGCAGTCTCACTCTGTCACCCAGACTGCAGTGCAGTGGCATGCTCATGGCCACCACAGCCTTGACCTGCTGGGCTCAGGCGATCCTTCCGCCTCAGCCTTGCAAGTAGCTGGAACTACAGGCGTGCTCTACCATGCCCAGCTTATTTTTTGATTTATTGTAGAGACAAGATCTCACCAAGTTTCCCAGACTGGTCTGGAACTCCTGAGTTTAGGCGGTCCTCTCACCTCAGCCTCCCAAAATGCTGGGATTACAGGCTGGAGCCACCACGCCCGGCCAATAAACAGTTTTTTATGTAAATATTGCCTAGAGGAGTTATAGTGGACATAATAATTATTAAAGAAAATGCTCTGTTTATATAAGCGTGGTAAAAGTTGACTGGAGTATGACCAAAAAAAGACAGTCCTGTTCCTTGTTAGGATGCATTAGAGAGAAAGCAACAGGAGCAGCATGCCATACCGTGGAGTTCTCTCCCAACTTGCAGTGGTCAGACATTCCTTGTTCCCTGCGTTTAGGTACCTCATTTGTAATATCTGATGCTTAAACATTTGGGAATGTTTCAACCAATCTTAAGGGCTTTGATCGTCATCATGTCCCTGTGATAGGTTAGGTGTCACAGGAGGCATTAAAAAACAGGAGAAGGAGAAGTGCCTGGGACGAAGAGCAGCCACCTGAAGAGGCTAGAGGCTGGAGGGATGGCATCGACTCAAATGAACACAGCTGCTGGATGACACCTGGAAGGCCAAAGGCATTCCTCAACTCTGAAGCTCCATGCTGCACTGTTGTTAACTATGGTTTCACCATCCTGGTCCTAACAGTGGGTATCTTTAAGAAGATGGCTTCATTTCTACGACAGCAGTCTTTGCAGCAATTTGGATGGAGCTGAAGATCACATCCTAAGTAAACCAGTCCAGAAACAGAAAACCAAACACTGCGTGTTCTCACTCATATGTGGGAGCTAAACAGTCACAAAGATGGAAATGATAGATACTGGGGACACCAGTAAGAGGGAAGGAGGAAGGAAGAAAGGATGTTCATAATGTTCATAATGTTCACTATCTGTGGAATGGGCCACCTGAGACCCAATCCCCACCACTGTACAAAAAAGCCATGTAGCCGGGAAAAGGCCATGTAGCCGGGCTCGGTGGCTCAACCTGTAATCCCGCGCCTTTGGGAGGCTGAGGTGAGTGGATTGCCTGAGCCTGTGGGTTCGAGACCCACCTGGGCAGCAAGACCTCATCT